GGTTTTAAATGTTAGAGGATAAAGAGAAGATAAAATAATAATAATAATAATAATTAAAATAATAATAATAATAATAATAATAATAACAACAACAATAATAATTTTATAATGCAGTGGAGGAATCAAGAAGGAACTGAACGTAAAAATATGTTTAAGTTTAAGTTTAAGAGTCATTCTTACCAAAACATCTATACGTGGAAGTTTTAATTCAAGAAAGAATGATGCACTTTATTCGCATTCTCAAGCCAAATCAGCATAATAATGATTTTCCGAGTAGCAAACGCTATTTAAGGAGTTGCCTCAAATTAAAAATTCTACTTCATTAATCGGATTCCTGCTATAAAAAATCCATGAAACTCGTCAGTCGATCCAAAATTATGATACGCAGTCCAAGTTATTCCATTTAGCCTATTGCTTTGTTTTATGATAAGATATCTGGATAAAAAAAAAATGTCCCAAAAACAAACCAAAGAATGAAGGGTTGCTCTCTTAGGAAAGAGGTTAAGGAAAGAAAAAATGGAAAGGTAAGTAGGAGCAAAGAAAATTTAGTGACTTCTGAATTGTGATTATTTATGCGCGTAAAACGGTGACCGAAAGGAATTATTTCACGAGAAAACTGTGACATTGCAGGAGTAGGTTGTAATGTTTATTCCCTTAACGTGACAAGAGTAAAACAACAGCAACATTTAACAGGAATTGACCATTGAGATCTGGTCGTCCGCAAAAATTACCCTCAGATGATTCAAGACAAGGTCGAACTACTGTCCTTTATGAATAACGAAAAAAAAAAACCACAATTAAGCACTCATTTCTAAGCACTGATAACGGTACATTAAAATCAATACTTAACTTGAATTAATTCATTATTGTGATAACTGATACCCTATATATTTGACCGTCCGTACGCAGCTCAATCAGGTATGTTTTTTTTTTTTTGTTATGAAGACCCTTGTGAAGCACTGAAAATCCCTTCAACTGTTTTGAGGTAACATTTTAAGACGTTACCAAAAATTGTATTTCTTTGCAAAAGGAATTTGGATTTAAACAAATGGATGACAGTACAGTCATGTTACGCAGCTGTTACATATCTTGGCTAATGCCGTTCTATTTCAGTGCTCTGTATTCTTACCTCCTATCAGCAAATAAACCGAAATCGTCAGTTGAGCTCAGCTCTTTGCCTATCTCAAATTGTTGCCAGTAATTTTCATCAATTGACCGTTAAATCTGGTTTCATCTGGAATAGTTACATTTTGAATTAAAAATGTGTCTGTTGTGGCCTAATTGTTCACGTAGGAGACTAGTAATGATTATAATGATGCTACATTCGACCCTTAGCGATATCACGTGACACAGGATCGACTTATATAGTCAATTCGTAATTCAACTGATATCTGTTTATTCAAGACAACGGATTCGAGCTGTGGGATCGCAAACGTTTTGGAAATATTAACATCAGGTGGTGGCAAATTTTATTTCTCTCTGCAAGGTAACATAATTATTTTATCTTTCACGTCTTATTTGCAATAGATGAACAATTTTAAAAGATTTTTGACCTTTTTTGTAATTATTTTTTTTAGGTTACTCAAAGTGCATATTTTGTGGTAAAATTATTTTCAAAATTGTATCATGCTAAGCTTGTCCTGTTTTCGCCACGAGGTTCACAGTTACTCAAGGCTCCCAGTGGTTATTCCGAGTTTATAAGCTTTTGCTTTGGTCAAGTTTTATATGTATAATTACCTCTGGAAATGGAGTAGGCGCTTTTTGTTCCTTGCCTGAACCATAACAACTAAACCTGTGGTATTTTGAGAGAATCAACTCACAGGATGTTTAATACAATAATACAAGACAGTTCTAATTTTAGCACAAACTGATCTTAATTCTACAAATACATTTGCAAAAAGATGACGTTGTGTACGTCCACTTTCCTAGCGCGTATGACAAAGTTGCATGTCCGAATCCTACAAACTGAAAGTTACGAGTGAAAATATTTAGCTGAACCTAATGATGTTGTTTTTTTTTTCAATAACAATAAACAATTACCACCAGTAAAGTGAATTCATATAGGCTCGATATAACAAGGTCTCTAAGGTAAGAGTCAGAGCTGCTCGTTAACTTTATTTAAAGAAGTGAGATTCAAAAACCTATATTTTGTTTAATAATTCTAATTAATCGTCAAACCAGATAGCGCGCTCTGAAATGTTTCATAATGAACTACAGCTGCGGACTAAAGATCTGTTCTCTTTTTCAAATAAAACACAGCAGGTGGTAACTGCAATATTTCCATCATACACGGACCTAAAATGATTGCAATCATTAACTGATCATCGGTTTTAACTGGAGCGGTTCTCAAAACGCGTGAGATTAAACCTTTAGAAATTTTCTCTACCTAATTAATTACTCATGTTTTACAAAACATCCCAGCGACTTTGGTAATTATACAAACTTGTTTCAATCAAGCATCAAAACATCTCTAAGACAGAACGCAATTCTAATTATGTTTGTTCTCAGCACCCGCTACACCACAATTGTAGCAATTCTTACATACATTACATCTTATTTTTTGTTTGTCACTTTCGAATGTGATTATTACTAAAGATGATAAGAACATGTTTTACTCATTTTTTTTTGGCATTTTTCGTAGACTTGCTCATTTTCTTTAGTTCTCCAAGTCAAGAAATACGAAAGGTTTCAGAAAGCTAAGGATGGTAGAGAGTCAGGGTGTTAATCCTCAACAGCGTAGTAGCGTTAATGCTGATTTCGCAACTTGTGCTAGTGAGGTGTCAGTATTTACATTTAAATTACTTTTTTCGTTTCATGAATAGTATTTATCATATGTATTGCCGAACGAGAGTTATAATTTCATCTTCAAACACGATAAAAATATATTAATATTCAAGCTGCTTAAGCTGGTGCATATGTAGCCTTCAACACGTACTACGTTTTAAGATCAACACCTTCGTGTAATAAACCGTACATTCAAGGATAATGACGTGAGATACGAAAAAAATACACAAGAGAGAAACAAGAGTCGCTGCAACCTTTCGGAATGCATAGAATCTTTTAATAATGGACAGCAGGTTACAACAATAGTGTGCCCTTTAAGAAATAGAAAACGTGTACCGTGTTTTTATCGAGTTATAAGGACACGAGTGGAAGTTTGGGAGAAAGAGAAATGCTAATTGAATTTTATGACGTAGTGAAAAATATTCTGCTAATTTGCGTGCTCCTAGTTAAGTTTTTAAGGTTAAAAAATCACCTACAACAAATGTCTATACAGTTTTTATGTTATTGCCGAATAATTGAACATGTCAGTATCCAAACTGAAACAACCTTCGCCGATCGTACGTTGACGAAATTCCCACTTAGCAGAAGCTATTACTATGCTGTACCACGTTAAAAGGCTGTTCAGTACCTATAATTTGAATGATCACGCGTTTATCTTTAATTTACAGCCTTAGTTTGCCTTGTACACACATATTGAGTGATTTGAGGTCTGATTTTGGGGATGAGATAGGAAAATATTTTTGTTTTTTTTGGATAGATGAAGTCTAACTTAAAAACATCAAGTCCATGCTCTACACAGATAACTGATGTTGTGTTAATACTTTTTAAATTATTTTGTACGAATTGTACTGATTGAAATTCGTGCTACTACAAATACCTCAGAAATCTAAGAACAGCTATTAAAACCTGTCCAAACCATGCACGGTTGATGATTAATCTCGAGGATGCAAATAAGATAATTTCGTAGGCGAGTAAACGCCTTTTAAAAATTTTGTCATATTAATTCGCCATTTTGTCCATGCAACTCTCTTACTTTCCGTAATGATTTACTCTTTATTTTACTCTTCTACGCCTGGCGTTCCTCTCTAGGGCTACTCAAGGGATGCTGCTACTTCATTAACGCATCTCCATCTTAAAAATAATTTATCAGTCGGTTTTTTTTTTTTTGCAAGAACCACTAAGATGTCATTGTCACTAGTAACTAAAATCTATTGAATGTTCCATTAATTTGTCGAAGTTAGTCCAATTTTTATCCACTTTATCTCCGCTTGCAATTGGCTAATGGCACATTTCTCGATTTGTTAGAAAATAAATCATTTTCTTTTAGATTTAATTACATAGCTGTCATTAAAAACAAACTCAAATTTTCTTTAGAGACCATTATGAAGCTCGTTAAAATAACCCAGTGTTTAACAATCGAGCAGCAATATTTATTCAACGAATTCAACAACCTCACTGAATGGGGCGCGAATGCCAAAGATCGTGATTTCTGGGATGGCAAAACTTCTTACTATCAACTGAAAGTGTTATAGTTTTCATTTCACGAGATATAGTCACTCGAGATGTAGATCGCAATGTTTTGACTACTCGTTTCTAGTCTCCATCAGATTACGTAAGTATCTACTGGTATGGTTAAAATAGATTAATAACAGCCCCCCAAAATATGAAATATGTTGATTGTTTCGTTTTTATTTATTTACCGATATTTTCTTCTTTAAGCTTGCACACTCACAGAGAATTAAACTGCTTTATTTGTCGAGTAACCGTGAGGTTCAACCATGTCTAGCCATTGACAGAACAGAGGCAAGCAAGATTATTCTTAGGAGGGACTGACTCGGCAAAATACTAAATCCCATTATGATAAATCTATGTTTAATAGACGAATAACGTTGTTCGTCGAATGGAAGGAAGATCAGATCGAAAGGGTCTCAATGCTAACAACATCGATCTGGAATCAGATAATCCAAAAATATGGTTTCCACTGAAATTACCTGAATAACGTCCTCCGGAAGCCTCTGAATGGAACAGCCGTAAACAAAAAAAAAACATATATGAAACTAAGATACTGTACTTAAGAATGAACGCAAAGAACGTAAACAAAATTGGAAGGAAAAAAATAGAATAAAAAGAATTCATTAGTGCTCTGACAGTTCCTATTGTACAACTGTCAAACATTCTGTTCCTATTTAGCATGCTATTGCGCTTATTGCTATGGGTTGCTGTTGAGCCAAATAAATAGAATGTATCAACAAAACTTAATAACAATTTGGAAGCAACAGTCCAGTACATCGATCGCCTCGAAGGATGCACTGATCTTCAATACATTGCGAGGTTTCAAAATAACGCCTTCGTACAAATGTGAGTCCTTACTTTTGAATTTACCTGGCAGATGTGTTGATGTTCGGTGGAACACAGAGCTTATGGTGTTATGCTTGTTGAATTCTAGGATAGCTGGCTTACATATGGGCACGGCAAACTAACTACTTGAGCAACGTTTTACAAGGTAGATAAATGTTTTTGTGTAAAAACTTACTAAAGTTGTTCTCTTCCTAAAATATTCATATGCCTCGGGAGTTAAAGCGGTGAATTATTAAAATTCTGAAGTCAGTCATGGAACAAAGACCTTCAAAGAGACATTCGATCATTCTACACTGGTCGACTAAACTCGACAGCCACCAAAATTTATAACAATGTTGATTCAAGTTTCCATAACGAAGATGTCATGGACTTTATTATTTAAACCTATGCTCTCAAAGGTAACAAATAGCCCGTTACAAGATATTCCTTGAATTTATGATTAATTTCTTGACAGCCCAGCTATTCATCGTAGTTAAATGAACTCTTTTCGACAGTTACTGTCCACCATTTGAAGTGTTATTGAAATTTGTAACTAAAATGCCTTGCACTCTTCAAAATTCAGTTCAACAATGTTGATATTCGATCAAAGCTCTTCGAATAAACGCGATTGCGCAGTTGTGGCATGTTTGGTTTTAATGCTGAACGTCGAATATACAAAGCAATTTTGGAGAAAATGGTAGTCTCCACCTTTATTTGGGTTCACCTGCGTTTATTTGCCATGTATATGTAAAGACTTACCTTGAGAGAAATGAAAAATACACAAGTTGAATTTTGATTTAAAACTTTAATATATCTTGTTCGCAAGGAATTAACTGAATGATTTCTTCAACCGTTAATTGTTAATAACAGCTTTCATCAAATATCTAACTTCTGAGCACCTTTCGGTTTTTTTCTGAACATAAATACTCGTATAAATCCCTTTAAAAAACACTATTTCAGAAAAACATTTTAACGAGAACCTTCGAATTTCCTGGCAACCATTTATTTCCAAAACAATAAGAGGCTGAAAGAATACAAGAAGAATTAATTAAACTTGCCTAAACTATGAATGTGATAATGTAAATCAGTATAGTGCCGAAAAACGTATGTTGCCAACTCAAAGACTAAAAACATACTATTGCAAATTGCTCATTACTTCAATTTTGAGCGGTGTGACGACCTATTTATTATCATCTGATGGTTCGAATAGCTCTAGCGATTTTCAAATATTTTATGAATTTCGACCCTTGTTAAGTTTGACATTTCTGACGGAGAATTCACAGAAAGTCCCTGCAACAGCTTGCAGGAATGAAAGCCATCTGTTCCGCGCGTTTTCAGTTAAATTTCATTTAACTTAGCCCTTTTTTACGATCGTTTCCACTACCAGTGAGCTTGGAACAGGAAATCAACAGGCAACCAATTGAATAGATCGCAACCATTGCCCTCCGCGGTTTTCTTGTAATAGTAAAAGAGGGCTATTTTTAGTTCAGACGCAAAGTTCAAGGCTTCTTGTTCAACGGCGATCGAGTGTTTATTACATTTTTCGTTGGGAAACGAAAGTGGAAGAGTTCTCGAGTAAGGGAACTAAATGCCACAATAGAAGTAAGCTGTGGAGAGTATGGCTGGTCACCAGTTGGTTTGCAAGAACAGTCCCTCTTAATAGTATTGTGTAGGTCCGCAAGTGATCCCGGAACAGGCAAATGATCCCCAAATTGGACCGCAAATGATCCCTGGATTGGAAATGGTCACCTCGCCTTAAAGGGTAAAATGTTTGGACTCGGTAATTTGGACAGTGGATTTATAAACTATATAATCGATCATTTTCCCTCTAAATCATGCAACAGTTACTATAGGTAACGCAATCTAAATGTATATTATTTGAACGATTCGAATGCAAATTTCACAATTTTAAACATGATATCGAACGTCAAAAATAACGATGTAACGGTTCGGTACTGTGAGTCTACTGTTGCAGACTGGGCAAAAGAACACAGAGATTTTTTTTCTGTCAAGTCAGAAGTCCGCATTCACAAAGTTGTTTGGCTCTTCGCTCTCTCTCTCCTTGCCATTTTTTTTCACTGAAGCCTGCCGCTGAGAATTTCTTTTACCTCTACTAACCGCCCCTGGGTTTCCGAGGATGATCCCTAGCCTTTTCCAGCCGTTCAGTTAGTTGGGAGCTGCAAGAAAAACCCTGAGCAAAGAAAGCAATAGTTCTCTCACCAAGCCTCTGTCTGCTTTCTTCGCTAGCCGTTTTTTTTTTTTTTTTTTTTTTTTTTTTTT